TTTATTAAAGTTGAGAATCAATTCCGGGGACGACAAATTAAAGAGTCACCTGGAAAAGTGCCGTCGCAATGCAGTTTACACATCGCCAAAAATACAAAACGAATTGATAAATTTATGTGGCGAAGTTATTAAGGAGATGATGTCGCCGACGCGCGCACTCGACTGCGTATGAGTTTATTTGTAACTAGTGGCCGCCAGCGACTTCGTCCGCGTTTTCCATTTTTTCTTCGCTCCCAATAGTTGCAGCGTGATGTTATATAGCCTAAAGCCTTCCTCAATAAATGGTCTATTCAACACAAAAATAATTTTTCAATTCGTACCAGTAGTTCCTGAGATTAGCGCGTTCAAACAAACAAACTCTTCAGCTTTATAATATTAGTATAGATGGAATACTGGCCAGAACAATCCTTCTAGCATGATTCAGTATTCACGCGCGATGGCTTATTATTAGCGTATTTCATGTATAACTTTGGTGTTTCTATACCGATTTCCATGATTCTTTTTTATGGAATACTTAATACTGTTAACTTTTTTAATTAGGGAACTAAGTGTTATGAACGTAAGAGTAGACAATAGACAAATACAATCGGGAGTTACACGTGTTATTGTGAGTAAACCATATTTTTTCCCTTCACTGCTCTGCTCCTTTTGATTGTAGCGTGATGAAAAGTATACTATAACCAGCTCAGGAGTATGAAAAATAATTGTACCAAGTTTCGTTAAAATCCATCGAGTAGTTTTTGCTTCCGTAACGGTTATACAGACAGACAAAAATTTTACTGATTGCATTTTTGGCATCAGTATCGATCCCTAATCACCCCCTGATAGTTATTTTGGAAATATATTTTATGTACAGAATTGACCTCTCTACAGATTTATTATAAGTATAGATTAAAACAATTTAAGATTAAACAGGTACGGTCGGCCAAGAAAGTGGTCTACCAGTTTTGACAACATTTCCCGTGTCTTTCAAGCATCGCTAAAGGCGAATCTTAGAATTGCATACAAACAATAAAAGAGATGCACAATGCTGACGTGTTGTCGTAGAGCACAAATGTTATTTTGACCTTTGCAGCCTATGCATTAGATAATAATTTGCAACAACAAACAGTCTTCACAATATTTCATAAATATAAAATTTAAGTAGGTCACTTCAAAGTGGAAACTATTTTGTTACGAAAACTCTTTTACTGAAAAAGAATATATCACTTGACAATTCATGTCAAATATTTTCTCGGCATTTTCCGTAGGTATTTTCCGAGATCGCCATCTTTCATTCATTTCATTTTATATGTAGAAATTTATTCACATAAAAAAAAGAAGTAGGTATTTTCCTAATTAATTTATACTACAATGCCCCGAAATTTATCCATTAACGAAAGAGCACAAATAATCGCATTACACAATGATGGTTTGAATATTAGTGAGATTTCTAGAGAATTAAATGTGTCGGTAAGTATTATTATGTCTGACGTGAGTTTAATGTAAAATCTCAGACCAAGTCCGAGTGTAAATTTTTTTTATTATTTTTTCTGTTCATATTGTGGCGACTGATACATAGCGACATCTAACTCATCGCACTAACATCGCCACAACAATCGATAGCGAGAAGACTAGCATCGTCACAGCCATCGATAGCAAGACGAACTGCAATAAGTTTCAACAGCAAGTAACGAGATGGCGCTGTACCAATACAAGCAGCATAAATTAATAACTATAAGACATTTAGAACAAAGAAACCTACATCGCACAGAATAAGTTTCATTACCAATTAACATAAATAGAACGTCCAACCTACATCGGTTGGACCGCGGTCCCCGGGCTAACTACAACTAGCTCTGAGGGAGACAAATATCCTTTAGTCTCCCTGGCCAGTTGTCTCCATCACCACACTAGGGACCAACATTCAATCATACGGTTCCTAAAATATTTTATTTTTGATTATAGAGACAAGCTGTCCGTCTTTGGATAAGACGAGAAAGCGAGGAGGGGAATTTGAACGCTCGGAGTCGTAGCGGTCGTAGACCTGAAATATCAGATACCCAGCGATTCTTCATGAGACGGAGTTATGAGGAATCTGGCTTTATACCAACGCGTTATTTTGCCGACATATTTGACGTGACTCTCCAAATCATTAGAAACCATTTACATTACATGGGCTTACATCACAGGCGTTATGCAAAGAAAATTTATATGACTGACGCTCATAGAATGGCCAGATTAAATTTCGCCAAAGAATATTTGGATTTTGATTGGAGTAACACTGTTTTCGGTGACGAGAAAACTTTTAAATCCAGTCGCTATTCATTCCTGTTATCCGTTATCTCAGTATATTCAGACCTATAACACGCATAGCTTCTTACGCATAGCATTTCACTACCTACTGATTTTTTTTATTTGTATTAAAATATAATTAATCTACATTCTAATGTAGGATATTTGTAGACTATAAGACTTTATTTACGATATTCTAACTCTAAAGTATTTAAACATACAAACAGACAGACAGAAAAAAAATATTTTTGGCTTCTATTAGTCTTATGAAGGCCGTCCATATATTTTTTTTCCAAAATATCTTACAAATGTAACCTTGTTACATTTTTATTATAGGTATAGATAATTACTGTCAAAGGTTACGTCAAAATGATGAAGATAGCAATAATGACGTGTACTTGACGTGTCAAAAAATTAATGCTACGGAAAATTAACTTTGTTGTTAGTTGACGTAACACGCGAAATTCAACTTAGGGTGGTAGACCACTTTCTTGGCCGACTGTACATACCTAGAGGCAGTGTTCTAATCACTCTTTCAGCTCTCACTTGTCAACCTTACCTACACTTCACCTCCACAAGTCCAGGGTGTCGATATGCCGGCCACCGCGTAAAACACACATCTCCTTTCGACTCGACACAGACCGTGTTACTCTCGACGTAAAATAGTGATGACGACTGGTTTAAAAAAATGCAATTCTATTTAGTCCGTCAGTCAGGTAATATAAAAATATTAGATACGTATTTTTTTACTTCAACAGGCATTAAAGTTGAGGAGTGGGGCCTCGCTACGTCACAGTTTAGTAGAAAACGTACCATAATGTGACGTCATGCGAAATTTCAACTCTATGTAACGCCGCAATTTTATGATTAGGAAAAAAATACGTGTTTAATAGTTTCTAACACTCTACCTGACGGACAAACAAACAAAAATTTGTCGTCATCCCTATCATAACATCCTCTGTCTGTGGAATAGGTGTTCGGCCGGCCTTCCTTTGGCACACTATGGAATGAACCAGTTGTATGTAACCGATTCACAAGTGCCACGAAGCACCGGTAAGAAGGAAGACGTTGAGGGTTTTCAGATCTTCCTGATACGTGACGTTCGTCATAAAGCCGCCGAGCCGCAGCAAGATTACAGTCACAAGCATCAACACACAATATCATCTCGTAATATTCGGCATGAGTACGAACACATTGCACTGACCGCACACAAACACAACACACAGGTAAACAGAATGAGTATGAAAAACAAACCAAAAGTTCCGAAAGAACGAAAACGTAAGTTGACCTTCTAAATTTTGAAAACTCACAAGTACACCGATGATAACCTCGGACGCGACTGAAGCGATGACCAAAACTACATAGGTAATTATTGCAAATCGAACACCAATGTACCTAAATCAAAAGTGCACCGATTTAGGGTTCCGCGTCATCAAATTCTGTGTTAGGTACCTACCTAACACAAAATTGTTATTTTATTATTTAATTAAACAATGAAATTTCCAAGTAACTTATTATACCAGCTTTTTACTGACGAAATTGATAATTAGGCTGTTAACTAATTATTACAATTTTATTTACGCTTTAGTAATAGCGAGATATTTAGATTATTAATATCACTGTATAAATCCGTATTTTATTGTTTCGTGAAAAAAGCACTGCTTTGTGAAATAAATAACAAAACTTCAAATAGATTAATCTACAGAACCTTACCGACACATCAGAAACCCGAGTTTCTCAATACACGTACAATTTCGTAGTCTGTCGCTCCTTCTTGCATAGACTAATGTTAGCAATATTGCAGACATCTAACTTCATTCAAAGTATTTTGCAATTTCTTTTTTATTTTGACTGTATTATTCGAGAAGTTTTCTTAATAATAGTTTTTGAAACACCGTTAATCACAAGATTGGTGTTCTTTTACGGTTAAAGTCATTTACTACTAACTTTTTCTTTGTTTTTGACACAAAAAAATACTCTCGGATGCACAATTATTCTAGGCATTTATCTTTAGATCTATTTAACTTCTGTTATTTTTTAACACATGGAGTCGGTGACCAAATACAACACAACAGCTGTTCTTAGGGTTATCAGCGTACAGTTTTACTTCGAAGAAAAAAGCTAAATATCTAGGTCATGTGCTGGGTTTCAGACTTAGGGATATTTGTTCTGGGTTCTATTCATCATACTGTATATACCATATTCGGGATTATACAGGTATTGCCAAAGATGCTGTATAACACGTACTTTAATTTAAGCGTATTTAATCAATAAATTACAGCTATATACAATGATAGTTAAAATGTCACATACCATAGCATCTTCATATATTTTCTATATAGTCGTGACGTAGCGAGCCCTCCCTTCTTGACTTCAATGCTTATTACCTAAGTGATTTCTTGTTTAATTGAAGCAAAACAAATCTGATAAATTTTACTAGTATACTCTACTTTTTCATCATCCTCATTATGGAAATTTAACTTGGTCAAAAATGTTTTGTTTTGGAGAAATAATAACCTTCAGGCGTCATATTAATTTGTACTAGTAGTAAACTGATGCCATTAGTAAGGATTATAAATAATACTAAAAGCTGCACTGAAAATTTTATTTTATTTAATAATAAATAATAATAATAACTTTTGAATAAGATTTCACAAATCCTGTATAAATAAATTGTAATAGCTGGAGCAAATGCTCATGTGTTAAGCTTGAAAATTGAGTATAAATTAATCCAATCCATTTCTTCTTTTAGGAAAAATTTTTTCCTCAGCTAGTTCAACCTTTTGTGCAACTTCAGCTAGTTGTTCTGATGCATGTGAAGCTGCAGCTCCACAAGTTTCAGCTAATTCTTGTACACCGTGAGAGACCTGTACAGAATTTTGTATTCATTTTAAGGACACTTAAGTTTAATATAACAAATTATTTCATTAAGTACGTATGTTGGCAAAAAATTTTGCCTAAGGGAGTCTACACTTCTTATGTACATGAACCAACACGACAACCTCCGTAGCCGAGCCGTTCGCACGCCAGTTTCAAGGTGTTGCAATCTCCGAGATTTGATTCCCAGTCTGGTCAATGTAGAAAATTAACTTTTCTATATTGTCTCGGGTCCAGTTGTTGTGGTACCTTTGTTGTCTCAGATACTCCATAATTTACACAGGGGCTTTAGCTTCTCATGTTGAAATCTGAGCAATGTATGTGACACTGTCTTATATTTATTTTTTTAACACAACAATATGCCCTTGAGTGATAGGTGTTAAAATTGTAGCATTAACATATAATGTTATATGAAATAAATTGAATTACTATTGTTTTATACAGCCATTTAGTCATTACCTCTCAAAAGCCCAGAGGTTCCAAAACAATTTTTTCTCGTAGATCATTAAAAAAAATACTGGTTTCGGTGGACGCCTTACTGCTATATTTTTACCATATTCCTAAAATTCGCCCAAACTGTGAAGAAGGTCTAACGATGGAAATTGGCGTCGCGGGTGAGTTCCAACCCTAAATTCGGAGTGGTAAAAAAAAAAAAATTTCTTGCGATCTATTTATTGAAATAATAATGATAACAGACTTACAGCCAGTTGCACCAACGTCCATTAAATTTTTCATTAGTTTAAAGTATAAATTAATAAAAAATTTAATGGACCCATATAAATTTGAGATTCATTAAAGCTTAAAGGTGTAATTAAACCTTAATGGACGTTTGTGCAACGGACCGTTAATAGAATTAAAATGAAAGACTAATAATGTTACGTAACTTCAACAATGCAAATCTATAATAAAAAAAAATACCCATAATTTTAATGGGATGGATGTACTTGATGGATAGACAGCAAATTATCAATATTTGGCTTTAGTCTCCCCGTTCTGTAATGTTTTATCTGCTCCTTTTATTTTTGTTAATAGGTTTGTAACGATACTAAAACTTTTGTGACAAGGTATGGAACGAGGGAAACGCTATCAAAAATTTTCTCGCAATTTCCCACAGCCCTGGATATTTTTCAGGTATTTCTGCCTGCAGCCAAAATTTTTGATAGCCTTTTTTCAATCGCACATTCAGCTCTTCATTGGTGCTGAGCTCGAGTAGTTCCTCTTGTAATACCATAACCGCCACTTCCGTTTCATCAACGGATTTATGATCCATGTTTTTGAACTCTGTATGTCTAAATATCTTCATCAAGACATGCTGTATGTGACAAGTTTGGAAACTGTGAGAATACGCGCCGACTAATATTTTGCTTATGATGGCTTATAAATCCACGATAACGTCCGACCATGGCGGGAGCTCCATCTGTTGCCACCGAAATGATGTTTGTAAATGGAATCGATTTTTTCTGAAAAAGGTCACCCAGTAGCTTAAATATTGATTCGCCTTTAGTGTCCGACTCTAAAGTTTTCGCGAATAGAAGCTCTTCATGGATTTCTTCGTCTGTAATAAATTGAACATATGCCACTAATAATGCTTCATTACCAAGTAAAGTTGACTCGTCCAGTTGAATAGAAAAATGAGTTGTTTGTAGATAATTACACAAGAAACTTTCAATATCAGAGCTCATTTCATCAATACGTCTTTGTACAGTGTTGTTAGTTAAAGGAATTCTTTTAAGTCTTCAACAGTGGGTAAAATTAAATTTTCTCCGATGGTGTGCGGTTTCCCAGATTTCGCAATAAGCAATGAGATATTGTAAGATGCCCGCAAGCCATTATTGTTACTTTGAGTTGTTGAAGCAAACATACTGTGGGTCTCTTTTCATATTTTTCCTTCAATGTTTGAAAATAGTTTAAATCTTTATCTATTTTATCAGGATGACACCTTCTTAGATGGTCTTCGAGCTTCGATAGTTTCATGGAGTCATTGCTCAAATTTTTGTTGCATAAAAGGCATGTCGGAAATCGTTTATCTGCCTTTGATGGAAGAAAACCAAATTTCAAATAATCAATACTGTAATACCAACATTTTTTCTTAGATTCAGCCCTGTTTCGTATCAGTTACGTACCTAAAAAAATTATCAAGTGTATAGTATAGTATAGCTAGAATAATTTACTTTCTGCCAAGATCTGAATGAAAACAAAAAATGAAATAAGTATATAATTACAAACATGCAGGTCAATCATATATCCCTGCTTTAGTGAATAACTAACTACAGCCGGGTAAATAAATAATTGTATAATAAAAAGTTCAAAATAAATCTAATAATGGACCTGTTCAGTATTTAATTTTTATTAGGTACATACCTACTATACGCAAACATAACAAATATAATATTATTAAAATCAAATAGGCAGGGAGATACTTACTTTTCCGGAACCGGCAAACACTGACATAGATTCACTCACACTTTTCTCTTCAAAATTCCAGAAACAAATGCGTAATGTTTGTCATTGGCATTCATATTTATATCGGTGAAGAATCAAACAAGTTCATACAAGATTGTGAGCACAGCAGAAGTGGTATTTCATAGCTGTGCAGGTCTGAACAAGTATCGCGTGCGGGCGGGCGACGGTGGCGCATTACAAGTATCGACACTGGTTGTACTGAATATTGAAGAGCAAGTTTTTACAAGTAACACATATTGACCTTCTTACAATATTATTACCTACCTGCACATTAATATGTAAGTAAGACCAAGCTAACATTTTTGTTCATTACTATCGAAACCAGATAATTTTAATATTAGACTAACAATAAATTTTCATAGAACCCAACAACTTGTGAACCACTATTTTTATTTCACGCCAACATAGTTTGAATTTTTTTGTTCTTTTGAATTTTACAATCAATTTTATGTAAATAGACTTGGGGATTGTGTAATTTTTAAATATTTTCTTAAAGATAATCATTATTTTTAATTATCAACATTACAAATGTTTTTGTACTGATCTTCAATAACAAAACTATATAAAATATCCATTAAATTATTAATAACTTGTAATTAGGTTGAATTAGATAAAAAAGTGTATATAAGTTTATTGAAAAATAATTTATAATTTTTAAACTACATTTACCATGTCAGCTTCTGCCTTAACTTCAGCTGCAGCAGTGTGCATGCGGTCTACAGCCTCTTGCATTTGAGGAACTTGCAAGATCGCCTCAGATTCCAGCACTGGTGCAGTCTACAAATATTTCATCCATTTAAATATTTATTTAGATGACACTAATTAGACCATTTAATAATATTATTCTTTTTCTTAAGGTAGTACCTGTTTACATCGTTGCATACAATGACAATGATGTTTAATTATAGGCTCTGCAGCAACTACTTCTCTCATGCGCATATCATTTTGTTGTATCTGATAAAACAATCAAAATTAAAATAAAATAATTTAAGTCTTGTTAACGACACCATTACAAAATTATTATGATATATGTCCCATACATACGTTTTCAAGTAAATTTGGATCTGTATAATTGTTCAACTCAGTTGCTCTTTGCATAGCCTCGGGCAATTTTTCATAGCCTGCAACTGCATTGTTGATTGACTGTGAAGTATTTAGAAGATTCGCAGTTATGGTATCCCCTTGCTGGTTGTCCACTGGGGTAGTGGAAGTTAAACCTAGTTTAGCTTCAAGTTGTTCAATTCTGCTTTGTAAAACAGCTATAGTATCCATTTTATGGCTGAAATAAAATATTAGAGTAGAAAACTACCGCTATAGAACAGGAAAACAACAACCTATATTAAATAAAATAAATGACTGTCGATAAAAAAAGAACTTTCAATTCAAGTTTTCAATACAAATGTACGTAGAATACACAGACTTAGTAGGTATCAGACGACCAACTTCCTAACAAAAAATTTCTTCGTAGAACGTGATTGGGAGCCAGTGATACATGACAGCTTCATTCGTTTTAAATATATAGATCTACTATCGGCAAAGGCATTTAGCTATACAGCCCTGTTTTGGGTAGGTACCTAGCCGTCTTCCTAGTTTCCACATTATTTTTACTTTAATTTAAATTCCTTTTTTGTTTTAATACAACAATAACAATAAAGCAGACTGATAAGTCTAGCTTATTATTATTGTTGTATTAAAACAAAAAAGGAAAAACGAACACGTAAATGAAACACACATTTTTCCAATATTATTTATTGAATAATTTATTTTTTAACTTATTATATTTTTCACAGCTTTCTTCTGCATTCTCGGCAATTCTTAGCTACGTTTTTTTAGTGGCACAACCTTATGAAACTTTTCAAGGTAATCACATTTTTTTTTATGAGGGCACTGATATTTGCATACCTTTTTATACACATATTTAAGTTTTTCTAAAATTTCAATTGCCTTTGGCCAGAAAGAATGATGCTCTTTTCCTTTATGCTTTTTTTGTTTATCGATGCTCCATTGACACTATCAAATAATTGGTCAAAGAATGAAACAACTTCAGCTGTATTTCTTAATGTTGTGCTGACGGGCCTGCCATCCACATAAGTTGCTGCAAATTAAAATATTCATACAATAATTGTATGAAACTTGATTCAAAACTATTAACTGTTAGTAAATTTCATCTAATACTCACAGAAATTTGCAGTGTAAGACAAAGCTGCAGACATATTTTTACACAATTTTTTACCTGCAAAAAGAGATATCATATTTAAAATTATCTTCATTAGAGAATCATTATTGTAATTTAAGTGTAAACTATATTAACTACTTGTTACATAATTAAAAATACAGGTCATTGAATCAACACTTGCTCTGATAGAGAATATAGAAGCTGAATACAAATTATTTCTTTTATTTATACTAATTTAAGTTATACTAATATAATAACCAATGCATTACCTTCATCATTTTAATTTTATCAGGTATAACTCATTGGTCATTTAATTTATGACGTAGCCCAGCTTCAGTGTGTTGACAGTCTGTCTCATAGACATAAATAATATCATGCCATTTTGCAAGTTTACTATCCAATATTAAATTTTTTGTTAAAAAATTGTTCCTGATGCATTTTATCAAGTGTGTAGAATCATAATGTTCAAATCCACCCCACATATTTTAAGAATGCCAACTGAAACAAAAATTTAAGAACTTCTTAAAACATAGATAACAATATAAAAATAAGAACCTTCACTACTTTCATTAAATCTATTAGTTTTCTTTCATATAAATATAATTCTCTGTACCAACCTGTGATTTCAATTTAAAATTTGATCACACTAAGTGTCTTCTTTTAGATTTTTGAGTGCTGATTGGAAAGCTGAGCCTTGGTCATATATTATTGCGATGGGATTAAGGTCCAATTCAACAACTTTTTCTACTACTAACTTTAAAATATTCTTGATGTACAGTAGATGTCGCTCCTTGACAGAAATACTAACATAAAGGCTGTTGCCACTTGTAAACAGCACCAACATAAATACAAGAGTATGATCTGCAAAATCCACTTTCTTTTCTTGGTGTTCTACAAATCCATTAATGTTATCTTTAATCCTTATTACTTTTATTATACGAAAGTGCTGTTTCTAATGACATCTCATCAAATATAATGGAGCATATTTTTTGGAGTTTCATTTGTCCACCTGAAAAAATAAATTCAAATAGGTAGGTACATATTATTATTTGGTAGTAATACAAAAAATTATAAAAGTAGTATGAAAAACCTTATATGGAATATATTTACCTCTTACATGAAGCCTGGTTCTATGATCGATTTTCTAATCATAGTATTCAGTGTAGTTTTGGATGATAAAATAAAAAATTTTGCTTAAAAATCAATAACACTTTGGACTCTGCTTTGATATTGATAAAGCAATTATCTTTTCTTCGGTAGTGAATCACCTCTCATGTTTATTTTTAGAGCACATGCTCACTTGCATTTCAAAAACATTTTTTGCAACTGTGTTCATTTTTTGTCGGAACTTTTCAAATGATAACTTTTTACAAAACTTAAAGGTATTTAAGTATTCTTAACTTTATTATGAAAGTTCAACTACGTCTTTGGCTTGTTATATTCTTCATAAATTCTCTGGTATAAAGGTGACAATTGGCTTTATTTGGTAATAAGCCTTTTCCTTTTTGTTTGGGTACATTTCACAGGGTCTGTAACATCAAAAGTATTCAGTGAATTTCTCTATTAGAACTACTATTTGATTGAAATAAAGATACACTAAAGAAAGAGACAGGTCTTACCAGATAATTTAGTTTGTGTCATATTTTAATCTCCAGAGCAAGCAACTAATTGAGTAAACTCAGTGGCTGCAGACACGGGAGTCTCAATTTGTTCTTTTAAAATTACACCACCTATGAAATCAATATTGATTATGTGTGTAAGATTAAAAAACAGGATATAATCTTAGATGATATTAGAAATATGTTATTTATATTATCAATTTATTCTCTGATCAAAATCACTTCTAGCGTGCCCGCTAGAATTAAGTAACTTAATGTCATTTTTCTTTATGTGTGTAAGAAAGAGAGATCTACTAGACTTTTTTAAAGCAAAAATCTATATTAAAATACACCAAAACTGCAGCATGAACTTTGTTATCTAAATAAAATAAATTAAAAACAAACCTCTGTTCAGTTCCACTTTCTAATATGTGTGGTCAACATGACTTTTTCTTGCATAGCTGTGTTCCCAAGTGAATATAATTTCTGTAATAAAAAAAAATCTAATGAAGAATAGCGGTATTCCAAAACACAACATAAAGTGAAGATACATATCATTTTAATTACATTATCTAAAGGTAATAGCAGATTAAACCAGCCTTACCAGTATTGCTTGAAGAGGGTAGGCTGATTGAGAGCCCATCATCAATAAACAATGACGGATATGCATCACCCAAGAGTCATGATTTTGGAGTGATGAATCTTGGTACAACGTGTTTGCTACAAATGACACTTCTGCCTGGATTAAAATTTTCAGTACCACACACAGCACTAAGACATTGTAACCACTTGGAGAATCTTTTCTCGTTCACTAGAATCTTATAAAGAATAGCGTCCTGTTCGTACTTTAACAATGCGTGTAACACAACCATAACACAACACACCAATTTCTTAGGCATCTTCTACAAATAAAAATACTTCGAAAAATGGAGAGTTTATATTACAAATAAAGCGAAGACGGTAAGCACAAAAGAAACTTTACTCAATCACTTGTAATTCCCTGATATGTAGGTACATACTTTAGTCTTCTTCTTCTTTTATTAATGGCATATCTGCGCATTTCACACAATTTTGCCAATGTGAAATGAATAAATTAATTCCAACATGTAAAATGAATTAAAGATTGATTAAAACATTACTATCTTTACTCTTTGTTGTAATGACAGTTTCTGTCAGGTGTCATGTCTCCATCTACTGACAGGGGTGAGGGGCGTGAGGAAATGTCATACATCACTGGACCCCTACGCGATTGGTTTATTGTACGGAGTTGACGGGCCGTGTAGAATAATAGAGTATAAATAATTTTAGTAAAGAGTAAACTAAAGCATGTGCCAGACATGTAAACAAATACCCAAAAGCCGAAGTGTGGCACATACGCGGGCAAACACTTTTGGAGATTGTCGTCATCTGTCTGTTATTGCGCTAACATTACTTAAATACACCAAAGTAAACAAACTTCAAAGTTGGTGTTGCCTGCCAGGCGTGAGGCGTGAGCAAAGCGTGAGGTGTTGTGTTTGATAGTGTGGAAAAATCTAACGGAAAATCAGGAAATTTTAATATGTAGAAGGCAGCAAAAAGAATAAAGATTTATTGATACTTGTAATATTTTAAATATAATAAACACTTTTCAACAACTGCCTCATAGCATTGAACGTAATCCTGACTTCCTTCCTATTCGGCAAATTTTGACATAGATTAGCCATATGCGTCGGACATCGGACATAAATCTGTTCACTCTTATATTACCAACATCTAATATTTTGACACACGAATAAATAAAAGAAGCATAACTTTATGCGTTTCTTTATTGCTAATCCATTTATATTGCAACTGCTGTTATGCTTAAACTGTTGAGGGAGACCTTCTTGGTTCAAGATCTTTTTAATTAATTTAAATGTTGACATTTTGACAATCTGTTCTGCACATGCGCGTCTATTGTTATTATATATCGAAAATAACTCTTCGTAAAGCTATTGTCGGTACTGTTTGTATTTTATAAAATATATATTTTTGGTGGTAAATATCCTCATGTGATCTAAAAGCTCCCTGGTCTTTCTCTATACCCTTTTTACCATCGGGTATCATAAACATCTAAATCAAATATGCTTTATTTTAGTAACTTCTTTTCACGGTTCCTATTTTTATGCGTTATGCTTTATTTTAGTGTAGAAAAATGTCTTCATATGTTCTCTTTCAGTAATAATTCGTTTTAATTGTAGTAGCGCCAACGAATATTTACGAATTAATATGGTATTTGACGCTGAAAACTATTTTAAATGTTTGTTTGAAACATCATAGACCATTATATTTCATATCATAGATCATTCAGATCATAGATCATTATATTATATGAGAATCTGTTCTATTTACGATGAAAATAATTATTAAAATATATAAAATCGCACAAAAAACGCTGCTCTATGTAATGGCGTTGATCACGTGGTATTTGTGACGGCACATGCCGGCAAATATGTCAAGGGTACATAACCTTTTTATCA